TATGATGGTTTACTCTAAAAAGTCATCTTACACTCCTATTTTTGCTTTCTACTGGCGTCTATTCAGCTGTGAGTCTTTTTTACAGCATGTGGCCTGTTTCAGGTTGCATTCTGTAACTTGGAAATAGAATGTGTGTCAGCTCCCCTGAAAGTCTTCGCTGGCATCTCACAAAACCAAACTGCCACTCTTGTAGACCATAGCAACTTGATTTCTTCTAGCTTTACCCAGAAGTTTCATGAACCACAATTATACTTGCTGCTGCCATGCAGTCAAAAGTATTTTTGATCTACCTCTCAGATGACCTTCAGACTGAATATAAGAAGCAGCTTAGGGAAGGAGTATCTGAAAATGAAGTTATGTTTTCTGCATTTTGTATGGATATCCGCAGCAACCACATGTTTTTCTTTCATAAATACTTAGAATTCTTCCTCCTAAAACATAGCCAGCTGGGTATTTACTCATATATGTAAGAACATATATATGTATGTGTACACACATACATACACACCCTACAGCAGGATATTTTTTTCTTCATGCATGACTGCACTTTCTAACAGAAAAACGTGCCTGATTAGGGGTTAATAAAACATGGACACTTACATAAGGTCATTCCAATTAAATTCAGTCATTCACAAAATCAATTTATCAATAGACCTACTGCAAGAATCTCAAAAGGGTAAGATTAGCAAGCACCCTGAAAAAAACAAGAATATTCCACCTTCAAAACTACATTTTGCTTCTGATTTCCAAGTTTTACCACTAATTAACAGCTATTTCCTTGCAGTGCTTCAGAGAATATTTTTTTTCTTAAAAGAGTAATAAATATTTTTAAGAAGAACCATAAAATTAAAAAAAAAAGAAAAGGCACACCTTTGTATTACTTATGAGCGTAAATGTTAACAAGTAGTGAAAACCTGGACAATTTAAGGTAAACTGAAAAGTCTTCTATAATAAACAGGTTAGTTTATTTAAAGTCTTTCATAAGCACCTTTTTTCGTTTGACTGGGGTCAACAGTCTTTTTATTAGAATGGTCTGGTCTTCCTTATGTTTGCCTTAAACAAGTGGAATTTGTGAAAGATCACAAATGAAGCTGGAAGGAGCAGTAAAAGCTTAGGATGAGGTAAAAGGCAAGAACAAGGGCTCTTGTCTGATGCTACAGCCTGTAAGAGATGAAGATGACAGTGGCTTACAGAGCAAAATAGAACATATTTTAATTTAGAACACCTTTTCAGCCCAAATAACCTGAAAAGCAGGATCTGGAGTAAATTTTTTACTGGTATTACCCAGATAGGCATCTCCAATCCACTCTCCTAATATGTGGCAGGTTATTTGTTTTTAAATGCAGGTTACGTCAGTAAATCACAACACTCCAATCTTTTCAGAAGCAGAACAAGAGACTGAATTTTCAAAACCAAAAATTTATCTCATGAAAGAACCTCTCCTTAATCTAATGGCAAACAAGTCCACTTGTGTTTTGAAACACCCTTTTTTCTTTTGAATACAGAAGCACAGTTATGATTAGGATACAGCTAATACAAGATGGAAAGATTTAAAGGCCACAGAAAAATTTAAACTGACATTCAGACTTCCCTGAAGTTTAACTCTTCATACCCCAAGGTCTGTAATGAACCGCATCTCCCTAGTCTCACTCTGCTTACCTCTTCCCCTGTGCTAAAAGCCTAATAGCTAACAGTTAAAAATCTGGCATCTTTCAGCATTTCTCCATTGAATTTACTTGGAACTATGTGAAATTATAGTAGCTGACAATATAAAATACAAATTCAAATACTTGCAAGAGGCACAGTAAATTTGTTCTTAAGTGTCCATAATCACCTTCACTTCTGTTACAAATGAGGGCGGGTCTTTTTGTTGCTTTTACTCATGAAATATCCTGAAGGAAAAAATACTATTTGTTAGCATGAATGTAAAAGATACAAGTCTGTCTAAGATGCAATTAGACAAGGTAACAGTTCTCCTAAATTGGGCACTGAAAGATGAATTCAAACTGAGAAAGTTAAAGCGATGCAAACATGTCAATTGAACTTCAGCTAGCTATCTCATAAGCTATAAACCTTGTAATATTTCTATGCACATTACAGAAAAGTTCAGGATCTCAACGGATGCAATTTTAAGGTAATGACAGGTTTACAAAGGAATTTATTTTAGGATAAGAGCATACCCATTTCCTCTTTCAGTATGCTTCCATACGCTACAAATAAAAAAGATTTATCAAAGGATTTCTCCTTTCAAAGGTAATAAAGAGCTCTTTTAACATTTAACATGGCAACCCAGCTTCAGCTGATGAATTGCATACTTTGGAAATTGTTTGGGGTTTTTTTTACTCTCCAGAAAAAAAAATCCTATCATTTTTCCACAGTTAGATATTTCTTTGGAAAATTTTGTATTTGTAATTTGGAAGCAAAAATTAATTATTAAAATGAAGAAAATAAGAATATTGCTTCTAGTAGAAAACATAATGACATCTTAGCTGTGGAGCTTGAGTGTCTCCAAAACAGATGAAGATTGAACAAAAATGTGCATCTATAAAGACTTTACTAAGAAATCTACAAAGTTCTTATATAAAAAGAATCCAGATTAAACTTTTTCCAGACAGCTTTATCCAAGGAGAAATATGAGTAACACAGCCGGAAACCACAAAAACAGGCACTAGAAACAAAAATGCAAACAGAAGTTTCTGGACGTGACTTCCCTGAAGGAACCATGGCTGAAGAGCTACACCAAGCTTTCCCTCACAGCTTTCTACATGACCTTGGTAAGATGCAGCACCGCTTAGTGACCACGTCTGAATTTCAGCAACTCTCTTTTAACACCCAGCTCAAGAGCTGCCTAAACACTTCCTTTTAATTAATATTCCTTGAAAACAGAAAGAGACTTTCAATTTCACTCTGGATCACAAAGTTACAATGCAGGCTATTTTAGGATGCTGCAATTTTAAGCCAGTAGGCTTTCAAATCATAGTAAGAGCACTGCCCTGGTTTACAAGCAACACAAAATGGATTTGTTGCAGACAGGACCATGTGCACAGAGGGAGGAGAGAAACAGTTGTATCTCTTCAAAGGAATGTTACGCAACGGAGCCAGGTACCTACATGTTATTGCAAACTTGGATTGTGGCGTCTAGAAGTAGCACAATATGCTGCAAAGCAGGTGAAAGTAGACAGATATAAATTGCAAACTCCTATTTTGCTTTCTGCATAAGACATGCTGGGAATGCAGCAGATGAGCAACATCAGCGGCAGGAGAGAAGCAGGGGAGCATTAACTTCATGAAGCACAGGAGCAGCCAGAATAGCTCAAGGTCAAACCAAAAAAGAGAGTAGTAGCCAGAAGCTGCGCTCCAAAAGCTGACACAGCAAACTTCATCACACTAGGATAGTCTCCCCTCTGCCCAAGTTCGACTTGACTTTTTCACATATCTGGTGAAAGCTCATACTGAGGTCTAATTATATCTTTAAAAACCAAATAAACAATGTCTTACGCTCTGGCAAGAAGTTTATAGCACAACCATAAAATGTCAGCCTGTATCAAAAGGTGTAAGAAGTTCCATGTTGCTCAAAATGCAGTAAAGTCTCCCATGGTATTTTATTTTCATTTGATTCAAGACCATAAATTACAACTCTACCCTTCGAAGGCTTCAAACTTTATCCTCTTTTACTAACAGCTAAAATGAATGACTGATCCTAGAAAGAAATTTTAGAAGTTGTTGCACAGCCATGTTTTCCAGCAAAGGAAGAGTAACTTGGAACCAAAACTCCCTACAGTTTCCTCAGGGCTGCTGTTCTGCTTAGGAAAATGTAACTTTCCCTCCCCTTCCCACTGTACCCAGCAGTACTCCTTACCAGATCACAGAAGTACAACTCTGGTACTTGGTGCCCTGTCAAGAGACACACTGTCAGGTTTCCAAATACAGGAATAGTGATGAATTTAAAAACCCTGCATATAAACCAGTAAAGTGAAGGGCTCAGAGGACACTTAACACCCATTGCTCCTCCACTCATCTTGTAATATTTTGCTGTCATCTGTCCCTACACTGTTTCATTCGAGATATGTATTTATAATGTAGATAATGTTCTACAGCACACAATTTTGAGAATACTCTTTCACAACTTTGTTTTTTTATGCTACTTGTTAAAAAGTGAGCTTTTCCTGACAAATTAATTTAAAAAGATGTTCCATGTGTTTAGTACAAGAAAGCAGACATTACTCTAGACAGGAAAGGCATTTGATTTCCAGATGCACTTAACAGAAACTTACAAGAAGCTCATGATTAGATGCCAGAAAAAAAGAGCTCACCCGCTAGAATATACCAGCAGGATTACTATGCAGTTAATGAAGAGATGGGTAAGTCTGCTTAACAACTGTTTTATCTTCAATAATATTATTTCCCTCTAATAGTAATCTATCTTGGAAAGTCTCTGCTCTTAACCACCAGGGAAAATAAAATCCCAAATATGAAGCACAATGTCATTTGTATTAAAATCTCCCCAACATTTCAGTCATCTGCATCACTAATTCCCTCAATTATACATATTATCATTCCAGCTTACTAGGCTTGTCTCTATACTAAGTTCTCCAATCAGATTTAATAAGTGTATAGAATTGATGGGGCACTTATTTCGGCCTACTGAACAGATTTCAGTTGAAGCAAAAGCTCTAAGGTCTGTTACAATGACCAAACCATAGTCTTCAGTCAGATTTCTCTTACAGTCAGCTCTCTGAACTGACATATGTAAACTAGTAATATTCATTACTTTAGGAAAAAGAATGGAACAACAGTTCAAATTACCTTAGAATCCAGTTTATGAAAGCATATTTATGAGTTTGCTCACTTCTTAACCAAGCCTTTAAATACAACAGAAACTAATGAGGCCAGTTAGACTTGGGTGCCGAGTGAAAGCCATGCTGGCATAAATACATTAAACTTCCACACCTTTTCCTATGAGTCATATTCAATAATTAGCATTCTTTTGTAAAGGATACAAGGATTGTTGTCATCAATGCTGCAGTTGTCCAGGATCAAGGGGATGCCATCTAACTCATAAACCTAAATAAAAACAGAAGTTTAATTTAACAGATGTCTCAACAATACTAATGACATTTCATGCAAGAAATAGGTAAAACATAACAGATGTTGGTTTCACCCAAAATATTAAACATGTTAACATTAATTCCAGTGTAAAACTGATGCTTTCAGCAGTAAGTATCACAAAATAGCAACAACACAAGCACACATTAATTTCACATTCTTTCTTTATTTAGCATGCGTTTGACTGAGGTATTTTCCATGTCATGCTTCTCACACTGAGCCAGAAAAAGTGATGCTTATTGACAGCTCATACTTGCTTCCAGAAGAAAAAAAAGAAAAAAAGACTGAATAGGAAAAAAAAAAAAAAAGTTGAAGAACACATATACACATGCATAGAAGTTAGCATGGGGCCACGTGTCTTCTGTATCTATGCAGTCTTTAAATCAATAGGTTACCTGTATGTACCTAAGAACAAATTCAATGAAGAGCCACTGACTTTTTCCTTTGATAAGGTGATCATTATGTTATTACTAAACCAGCAAAGTCAAATTCTGTCATTTTTCATTTTCTGTGTATGAATACATATGTGAACTCAAAAAATTACACTAATGCATGTGTGTGTGTATGTGATAATAACATACGATCTTAATAGACTCATACATAGACACCTACACTACCAAAAACTCAGGATAAGTTGCTGTTATCAATAAATATGTACCATAATTTTCTTAATTTTTTTAATTTTCTTTGTTTTTCCTTTTTTTGTAGCATAATTTTTTTAATAATAGTCCAGAAGAAATTTATCTAGACTTGTAAGTTACACTATGACACCACACATCATCATGCATATATTTATAGAGTTAGAAAATGTTACTTAAAAGAAAACCTGTTCTAAATTATGCGCAAAATTTCAACTTTGGAAATACCTTCTTAAGACATATAAGCTTTTTTTTTTTTTTTTAAAATACAAAATTAGTTTTAAAAATACTTGAGACATGAGGATTAACTGTTTCTATTCTTATTATTTATAGTCTTTAAGCCACTTGGACATGGTCCTGGGCAACCTGATCTACATGTGAGTATGGAAGTTGGTCAAGAGGTTCCTCCAGAAGTTCCTTCCAATATCAAAGAGTCTGTAATTCTGCAATAGCCAAACCATATTTGTCCAAATACTGAATTCTTTAATTCCTTAAAATTTAGTTTCAAATCAGGAATTGTCAGCCAAAGGAATTTGGACAAAACACTGATTTAGACTGTGGCTTGATGATGGGATTCTCTCCTTTTTTTTTTTTTTTTTTCCCAAAATGTGTTTTTTTTATACCATGTTAAACAACAAATCACAAGGTTTATACTGCAGGATGGATCAGCTTGCTGAAACGCAAGTTCTATGGTAAGAGAGGGAAGCTGGGTAGGATGACATTCAGATGCTAAATCCAAAACAGTTTATTGATCAGTAAAACTGAATTCAGAGACAAATCTCAGCACGTGCCTCTTACAAGTTCCTTTGACAATCTTACTGCAGAGTCTTAAACTATAACCTAAAAAAGTAACAGTAACAGAAGACAGATCTGCGAACAGGAAAGAAAAGCAAACAGTATTCCTAGCTTTTTAGACCTAACTGGCACATCAGTGATAACATGCCTAACTATACCTACATGAAATACAGTTAACAATGCAAGTTTTAAAATATTCATTCTTTCCAAAAACTTTGTTTTCTCCAAAGAGCATGGATCATCTATCATGTCATACCTCAAAGCTTGACCAAATGTGAAAGTTACCTTTCAGTAGCACAATACTTGTGCATGCTTGGGAAATGTTGTTTCTTTGATTTTCACGCTGTAGCCAAACTCTGATATGCCTACAACGCTACCTTTCATTTTCCATCAGTGAAATGCTGAGCAGTACAAATTAATCGAGATTAAGCGCTGTCAACTGAAATAAACCATGCAATCTGTCCACTCCAATTCAAATGAGTTGTTTGGTTAACAGAATAAGGAAGTATTCTGGGAAAGCAGAATTTTAATTAAAATCCGCACATGCTTCAAAAGAAGTTAATACTGGAATATAATGAGATTCCGTCAAAGTTAAGTGGGAACAGAAGCAGTAAACCACAGCCTTAGTGATACCTTAACGTAAAAACCAGTTGCTAACTACTACTGCCTTACACACCCACGGAGAGTCTCTTGAACATCCTACAGTTAAACTGTATGTGTACTCTGACCGAGTTAGGCACAGCATTTGTCGCCATGATGCCAGCTTTAGCAGTCACCTGTGATTTACTACACAGTGAAGCAAAGCAAGGGAAAGCAGCTTTACAACATACCCACCCGAGACAAATCTATATACTTCTCAGTCCAAATATGAGGCAAAGAGCTCAGATTCCTGAAGAACCACTATTAGAGAAGTTCCAGTCCATGCCAGCTGTTCCTGAGCCACCACTGATCCACTAAAAGCGTTTCATGGTAACCTAAAATTCATGCCAGTGTATTGTAATGATTTGGGCTGCAATTGCTTTGGATTTAGTGGAGCCATTTCTGCAATGAGTGTCCCAGATAGCGAAAGGAAGAGATCAATGTCCCCCCCACCAGGCTGTCCCACTTGCATTCTAAGAGTCTCTCAAATCTTCTCACTCTGATCTGCCTGTAATCTCCCACACCAGCAGATTTTGTGAATATCCAGAAACCATAATCCCAGGTCTCAATCACTTACACATTGGAACTATGCTGCAAAATATAAAGAGGTGACTGAATTTTTCCAAATAATTATCGATCGTTTTTCCTTTAAAGAGAGATGTCCGTAAAATGCACAGTGCAGAGTAAGGCAGTGGAACTTTTGCAGGGATCGTCTGCAGGGCTTGCAAATGGAGTCAATAGTGCACAAGCTTCAAATCTCACTTCAAATAAGGTGCAAAATTATCCTGGGAAGAAACCATGTAGTAGCTGGTGTGAAACTGGCTGTAATCCATCTAGAACAATAGTTCTGGTGTCTGTCTAGTAAACTAATTGCCCTGTGTTACAAGAGGTCACTAAAACTATTCTCCATTTACATTATTGACAACACTGCTGGCCAATAACGTGGAACTGCACTGGACTGTAACAAAACCACAAGGTTATTTTATTATGAAGAACTATGTTACTTTATTCTGAACTCTACTGAAACAGTAAATGAAGCTGCAACCTATGTGTAGGCTGAAATCTCAACCACATTTAATTACAAAGGTTACTTAAGACAAAAAATTACAGCTTTGTGCTAGTGTTCGTTAGTATCTTGATCAAGTTAGTACCAAAATTTTTGCCTTAATAGCAGTTTTTGCAATTGCTTTCTAAAAAGCAGAAAAATAGAACATCCAGCATTCAAAGCAGGTTATCTGCCTTTGGCAGTTAAAAAAGGTATCTTTCAAAACACAGCTTTATATTGCTCTCCCACTTGTTTTCTATACTTGCCTTTGAAACATAATGAAGATCAGTTTCACGCCAGTGAGAAATTTAAATGCATTATGCTTAAAACAAAATGCATTCCTCAGTGACAAAGTGACTGCTACGTTTTCTCCTCTTTGTGTGTACATGGAATTTTATAATCAATTTCAATTACTTAAACCAGACACTGAACAGAAGCCCATGTAGGCAAAGATACTAAATAAAAAATACTAAACAAGAACTTGTGAAAATGACCAGTCCAGCCCATGCCTACTGCTCTTGTGGCCAAGGAACAATATAGTGTTTTATTCAGACAGTTTGGAACATGTCAGTCCTGTGGGAAAAGCTGTGCTTTTTTCTCTTAATAACCAATGAAAGAATTCAGGCTAAAATTAAAGCTTTCATGTTATCTTACAGAATTCACATTTATTTACCTTACATATAAATAAGGCCACAAACATAATTAAGGATATCTGCCCATACAGAAGTACTTCTGATAAGCTCCCAGTATTTTCTTTTGAAATCCATGGAAGTAATCATCATTAACATAATAATTCACTGCAAAGCCCAAAAACCTATAAATTACCCATGGACTGTTTCTTGAATCTTTCCCTCTAGCAGCAATGGAGACAAGCTCAGGGGTAAGAATGCAAATTCTCTAAGCATGACAGTGCTTGTTGATTCTGTGTGCATCTATCTAGTAAAATGCAACTACAGTCTCCAGGTCCAGCAACTCCACGGACAGTAACAAAAAATCTCCAGCAAAAATAAGCTCTTCAAAGAATCATTAACACTTCAGGCATTAGAAACATTACCTGGTCAACTAAAACAGTACTGTCACGCAAAAAGAACATTTATGCCTTCACGTAACAACAGCTTGAATATAAATTATTCTTCCACCAGAACATGACCAATTCTCAGACTTCAACTGATACAGAAGACGGAATGAAAAATGTGTTTGTTTCAGCCAAAGAATACTTCTATTTCTTAATTTTTTAATTTGGTCTAAGTATAGATAAGCAAAAGAAAATGCATTCTCACAAACAGAAGTGGACTACCAACAGTTTGTCCATGCTAGAACCCGCTCTTCTTTTTACATGTTATGGATTGGTACATTGACAAATAGAAAGATGAATTTCTAGCTTAAAAAGCAGTTGGGTGCAGGAAACACATACTCTAGAAGAACTTCAAAAAGCGGGAACAAGCAGGAGTCATTTATACACCAAGCTGTGTGGTTCGGTTGATACCCTGGAGGGAAGGAATGCCATCCAGAGGGACCTTGACACACTTGTGAGGTGGGCTGATGCCAACCTCATGAGGTTTAACCATGCCAAGGGCAAGGTCCTGAAGAGATTCAGAGCAGCCCTGTGGAGAAGGACTTGGGGGTGCGGGTCAATGAGAAAATGAACATGAGCAGGCAGTGTGCGCTTGCACCCCAGAAAGCCAACCATATCCTGGGCTGCATCAAAAGGAGCGTGACCAGCAGGTCGAAGGAGGTGATCCTGCCCCTCTACTCTGCTCTCATGAGACCTCACCTGGAGTATTGTGTGCAGTTCTGGTGTCCTCAACATAAAAAGGACATGGAACTGTTGGAACAAGTCC